CAATTGGGCTGGTTTTCTTTTTGATCTGTTGAGCCTAGACAATTCCAGAATTAATCCCTGGCATAGCTGAAGGTGGTAGCAGAGTTACGGAAATTCTTTGCCTGAGAGTGACTGCCAGTCTAAATATACAGTAAAGGTAAAGGTTCCCTTGCTCGAAAGCCAGTCGAATCCGACTCTAGGGTTGTGGTGCTCATCTCCGTTTCAAAGCCAAAGAGCCAGCGCTGTCTGAAGACGTTTCCGTGGTCATGTGGCCAGCATGACTAAACACCAAGGCGCACGGAATGCTGTTACCTTCCCACCGAAGTGGTACCTATTTATCTACTTGCAATTTCTTGCTTTCAAACTGCTAGGTTGGCAGGAGCTGGAACTAGAGACAGGAGCTCACCCCGTCTTGCGGCACCCGGGTCTTGAACTGCTGAACTACTGACCTTCCACAGCCTGCAGTTCAGCGTCTTAACCACTTGAGCCACCGCAGCTCCAAAAATATACAGTAAAAAGGTAAAGGTAAAGGTTCCCTTGCTCGAAAGCCAGTCGAATCCGACTCTAGGGTTGCGGTGCTCATCTCCGTTTCAAAGCCGAAGAGCCAGCGCTGTCCGAAGACGTTTCCGTGGTCATGTGGCCGGCATGACTAAACACCAAGGCGCACGGAACGCTGTTACCTTCCCACCGAAGTGGTACCTATTTATCTACTTGCAATTTCTTGCTTTCAAACTGCTAGGTTGGCAGGAGCTGGAACTAGAGACAGGAGCTCACCCCGTCTTGCGGCACCCGGGTCTTGAACTGCTGAACTACTGACCTTCCACAGCCTGCAGTTCAGCGTCTTAACCACTTGAGCCACCGCAGCTCCAAAAATATACAGTACTCAGCATTAAAGAAAAGCAAACAGTACTAGGCCAGGTGGACCCATGCAGTATATGGCATCTTTATATATTCAGAGTAGGCCTGATTCCTGTGCCGTCGCTCGGTGGTCTATAGGTTATCTACCTCCTCCTGTGCACGTATGCCCTGGATTCCATTGCTTCGTACTGGTCACTTGTGAAATGAACATTCATGGCAGCTTAAAGACCTTGAAGTGTGACTGGTTTTTAAATAGTGTATACAGAATGAAACTTGTTGCCTTGCTCTTAAATATTTGATAGGCTTTGAAGGAACATTAGTTGCATCAGTTACAAGCATTGGATACTGTGGAAGCTTTCAGTGTGGCTTCTGAGAGGATATGTGTGCTTTCCCGATTCAGTTGGCTTTGCTATAATCATCTCTCTGAACCTAAAATTCTCCATCTGTGTTGGTGATACAGCAGCTTGCATAAGAGGCTTGGTGTGCTCGGCATTGTGAATATTGCTGGCCTGTCTCTTCTCTTCTCTTCTCTTTGCTGCACCCCTCCTATCACTGCAGGGTTCTTCTCTCAGGGAAGGTAGCTGGAGTAGTTTTTTTGCTGCAGTGTTTAAGTTGGCAATAGTGCCAAGTGGCTGAGAGGAGGTAGCAGTAACAACATTTCTGGTGAGACTCATAGTTTGTCTGAACAGTAAGAAAGAGTTGTTCTAGTCGTGATCGTAATTGATTTGGAGTCAGGAGTAGTCTCCCCATGCAAAGTCAGTTGCATGTTTACTCAGGCTAGTGGCAAATTGTCCCTATTCACAAGTGCATAGATTCCTAACTCATGTCTTGAATTGCTGTAGCATAGTGGGTATTAACATAATCAGCTGACCACCAGAAAGTCCCCAACTAAAATCATTATATTTGCCTGTATTTCTT